TATATATATATATATATATATATATATATATATATATATATATATATATATAGTGTTTCAGCATTTTCAGCCTCCCCTTTTGGCATCTGCATTTGGTAGCGTGCCAAATTAACAAAGACCATGCAGATATGGAGCATTTTATGTCTAATCTTAAAACCTTTTTATTCAGGCAGGCTTGTAATACATAGTAGTTGTTTGGCAATCTTGCTAAGTTTTAATTGTTTGTTTTAATTTTTAACTGTCAGTTTTTAATTCTTAATTGTTTGTTTTTAACTTCTGTATTGTGCAGCACTTTGTGCACCTTTTGACTGTTGGAAAGTGCTCTATAAATAAAGTTTGATTGATCGATAGAATAATGTATTTTAATTCCACAACATATCGGATATCGGCCAAAAATCCAATATCGTGCATCCCTAGCAGCTACATTATCCAGTACGCTCATTCCACATTTGCACCTCTAGGCAGTGATGAAGTTGAATTTCTCATTTCCTTAAGCATCTTTTCTCTAGTCCCTATAAAGAGACTGGCTGTGGCTTGTGAAGGCAGTTGGTTGTCTCCTCCTGAAAGAAGGGGGAGCAGAGAGAAAGGCTCGAGTGCAGCCCCGACCCAAACATCAACAGCAGCTCTGTGTTTTCAGCTAGCAGAGACCCACACTGCCAGCTTTGTGTGGTTTTCTCCTGGTCCCACCAGAGCAGATCGAGCTCGCTCCAAACACATGCACATGCACGCATATAGTGAAAGATTCAATGCCATGGTGGGACTTTCTTTGAAAATATTACATTTTAAGCTGAATAATGAACCTCTGGCTGTAAAAAGCTTACGATGAGGAATTGTAAGATGGATGAAGAAATAGGTCGATATTTTTAATCACTTTTAAGTTCTAACATTGAACTTTTGGAAGCAGCTTCCCTTTTTATTAGTTTGTTTATGCACATATTTTGTTTCACTTGATAACAGAGTTCCAGATTCCTCTCACGTGCCAAGATTTCAAACTTAAAAAAATAGCAGTGCACTGAAATTCAAAAGGAAAAGGTAGATGTGTCAGAACGGTTTCAGGCTGTTTTCTTGGATTGATGATTAATCCAAGCCTCAGAAACACTGTCCCAGTAGGGAGCAAATAAAACCGAAAGGCCAACTGATAAGACAACCTTTTCAAAGAAGTTCTGTGTGCTGGACGGTGCTGCTCGGTTCTGCTGTGTGCCATTTTCACTTTCCAGCTGCTGATACAGATGTGACTTCGGCTGCTTTAAATTAGGACCGCTCAGTGAAGTGCTTTGAACTTGTTTATGAGAGAAAGTTGAACAACACTGGCTGACGTAACGGCGCTCTGACACATCCTTTGTTTGCCTTTACCTTAGAAAGAAGCAGGCTCAGGCACCAAAGTACAAGATACCCTGTACTACTACTGATATTTGTACTGAGTTTTGTTTTAAACAACTGCAGTAACGTAAGAAAACTACGTGTCTTCAGTATCTGAAGCAGCTAGCAAGGCATCTGCTTCATCTACAGACTCAAGAGTGAAGAACTCATCTTAGCTCATTCATCTACTTCTATCTTTTTTCCCCATCCTAATATTAAAAATATTCCAATGAAAATGTTCTCTTGAATAAGTTTGACTGTCTTGCATGAGCAGATTTTGTTACAATGTTGTGACGAGGAAAAAAAAACTAGAAAAATGAAACAAAACGCCCACAAAATAACTCAAATGTTAGTCAAACGGAACGACAGGTTAATACTCAAACATTTCAAGGAAACGTTTTTTAAATCATTGTTTATCGTGAAAATGGGGTCTGTATTCAACATGTAACATGAATTTCACATGAAGTATTCCTGTTTACATAATGCAAATCCAATTAATGCCATAATCACATTATGGGTATTTATCTCCCCCACCCTAACTGCAACCAAAGCCTTCATTACATCTGTATCTCTGAAAAAGACAAGGCGACTAGAATAGTCCATCCATCATTAGTCAGACCTGCTACAGATGGACTCCTGATTGTCCCTGCAGGCACCAGTTGGCACCATCTTTCTTCTTTCTGTCGGCTCCGTTGTTGGCCTTCAGGCAGTTTCACAAGTTTTGTTGGAGGTTTTTTTTTTTTGGCAAAGTCCTACCTATTTTGAAGGACTGGACATATTTGTTCTACCCGACCCTCCTCCACAACACATGAGATGTCATATGCATACTTACTCACATTCTTCATTACTTTATTATCAACATGCATTTAATACTTTATGTACCTGAAATGAATGCGGAGACTTTGCCGGCAAACTTCCTTACTTTGTGCCATGTTAGAAATAGTCACAACTGTAACACATGCTACTTGTTTCTAGGCAGTGAACATATTTATTTTACCACATGTTCCTTACGTCAGTGGTTCCCAACCCTGGCCCTTGAGGAACACCATTTTGCATGTTTTAGTTGTTTCTCTGCTTTGACACACCTGCTTTGAATGAATGGGTGATTAACAGGCTTCTGCAGAACTTGGTGAAGTAATTAAATCATTGAATCAGGTGTGTTGGAGCAGGTAAACAGCTAAAACATGCAAGATGGTGTTCCTCAGGGACCAGGGTTGGGAACCACTGCCATACATATTCCCTAATCTGCGTTTCTGCATATGCAACATTTTGCAAAAGTTGTGCTGAAGTACCTAAAACAAGGAGGCGTTCACTTGGTTTCTTGTATCTGCTTATGACTGTAGTGACTGGTCATCATTAGAGTCAGGGCTGAGTTAAAAAATGTTTTCCAAACCAATAATACGTGTTTTGATGATCGTATTATTAGTGTTCACGCAGCTGCACCCTTTATCCTCCATGGTCTAAGATAGATGATGATGCTTTAACAGCTATGGTAAAGTTTAATGATGATTGATGATATCAGTCCAACAGCAGGATCAATAGGAAAGTTCAGAACCTGCGTTGCTGTTGGACCTCTTCCATACAGAACCTCCGGTTATAAAAACCTACATTTATAGTTTAAACCTACTTTAATAGTTGAATCAAAAATGTCCATGCTCAATAATCCAGGTATACAATCCAACAATTTTCAGTCAGGTCATCTGGACAGTTTCTTTTTTTTTTTTTTGCTGAAACGTTTCACCTTCCATCTGGAAGGATTCATCAGTCAAGGAAACACACAACACAAAACTGATTCTTCCCCCAAACAGCTTACTCCAAAGTGGAACAAGCCAGTTATGTTGGTGCTAAGATGGTGTCTTTGGCATGCCCCCTCCTGTGGTGCTGGCCCTCTTCCTTGTCGACAGTCGACGAGGGAGAGGGCCGACACTGGAGGAGGGGGCGTTCTAAAGACACCATCTTAGCACCAACGTAACTGGTTTGTTCCACTTTAAAGTAAGCTGTTTGGAGGAAGAATCAGTTTTGTGTTTCCTTGACTGATGAAGCCTTCCGGATAGAAGGTGAAACGTTTCAGCAAAAAAAAAGAAACTGTCCCGATGACCTGACTGAAGCTGAACTGAAATTCCATATGTTAAAAAAAATGTTGATGTTATGCCTCTAATTTACAGTAAACATCTTTGCTGCTTCTTGAAAAGTTAGTGTTTTTTTTTTAACAAAGCAGAGTAAATCCTGTTATGTCTTTCATAGCAAGCCATTATTCACAAGTCTGAAAGGTATATTTTTTACATTGAATACAGCTGTTTGTCGTACTTTGTTAGCGCATACTTTTATTATATCAATTTATTTACTTTACAAGTGTTTTGGGTGATTTAGTTTGGGCAAAATTCAAATTTTTTACCTTAATGCGCTTATCTCATGTCCATGTTTAATCAGCAGAGTTTTAGTAGAACATTTTATAATAAAGAGCAAAATGCATGCATAGTTAAAAGCTCTTTCTAAAATCTAATAAAATAATTCATTTCAGTCCAATCATATTCTTAAAACTGAAGTTTTGCAATTTTCACGTCAGGGTCAGTCTAGTGGGCAGAACAAGTTATTCTCTTTTTCCTTTAAGTATAAATGTTTATTTCTTTGTGGGGTGTGCTCCAACGTTCAAATCATGATGTATCAACTTTTTTTTTTTTTTTTACCACTTTGTGCCTACAGACTCCTTTATGGCCACATCTTTGTTTTATTGCTCCACCTCATAACCTTTCACTGGAGGAGCAGGATCAGGAGCTGACAGCTGTGTGGAAAAGTTGTCTGTTCCTGTCCAGAGGCTTCACTGTGCATGCAGTCTGCTCTGTTGTGTATTTTGAGGGTCATACTAGAAAAGCTTCACCCTGGGGTAATATGAGTGGAGAGTGTACTGTCAGGCACCCCTGGGTGACAAGTGTTCAGATTCCTTGTGGCAGATGAGGTCTGTTCACTCTATTCAGGCTCTTGGATCAAACACAACTGGTGATTAAATAAACAACAAAAAAGTAATCTAGTAATTTAGTGAAAGAAAGCTGGTTTGTGCTAATTTGGTTGTTTCTTCTATGAATATTTCACTCTAAATACCTTATTTTTCTAACTATAAGGCGCACCGGATTATAAGGCGCATTAAGTGAAACAAAACAGTCAGATAAGTCAAACTTTATTCAACTCATTCACAATAACCACATAAAATCTGTTCGAGGTCATTAAGTACAACCAGAATTAATACATAAGGCGCACCAGATTCTAAGGCTCACTATCAATTTTTGAGAAAATTAAAGGATTTTAAGTGCCTTACAGTCTGAAAAATACGGTACTTACTAAAGACAGCAGAATATTATGTGCTGGATTAAAGGCTTGCCCAAGAAGAAAACAAGCCGAAACCAGAGCTGCATGGCGCTGGGGTGGGGAGACGAGGTTCCAGATGTGAGGCAGCCTTGCTGGCCGCCTGTTTACATTTCTCGGCTAACGGGAGCGTATTTTTAACCTCTGGCTGTTTTTGTTCTCTCTGCAGGTGCTGGAGAGTCGGGGAAGAGCACCGTTGTGAAGCAGATGAAGTGAGTGACTGCTAATTGTTTTGCTTTTCCTCTTAACAAGTGCCAGCTTCATACGTTTGCAGCGCAGACCTCTTTCTAGTGAGATACATCTATTGCTGCAATAAACACCCACATTTCCATTCTGTATTTTTTTTTAATTTTTTTTTTTACTTTTAATTTTCTGTGCAATAATAAAAGTGTGTCCAAAGTACAAGAAGTGCATTAAAATATACACTTTGTAGCTGTGGTTGGTCAGTTAAAAGAAAAGACCAAGGTAAATTTATGAAATTTCAACATTTCTGCAGAAATAGAAGCACAAAACAATCAGATTTTCACATACTGCTCTAATGTGGATTTCACAATAAAAAGTAAAAAAAAAAAAGGGCTATTTGTTTAAAGAATGATTGTAGCTGTGCTTGGCGAAGTGTACGTTGTTCATTTCATTCATTATCTCAAGTGACCTTCTGTGCAGCTTTAAATGAGTCTAATAAAAGTCAATCAGTCTTGCGTATTAGCTCAGACAGAGTTTAACGTATTCCTCCGTGAAGATCAGCTTTAACTCTGGTTTGTTGGTTTGTTTTGCCTCCTGATCATCTGGAACTGGTACATTTCTAATGACTCAAGATCAGGATGTGGCTCAGCCACTTTAAAACACTGTTGATCTTTTAAAAATAAAATCTTTAAAAATGCCCTGCATAGCCCCGTGCTGTATAAGAACTTAGATATTTTGAACCACTTTGGCCATGGCTGCTTCAGGCGAGTCGGCGGGGGACAGGGTGGACTCCTGAAACTGTTGGATAAAATAAATATCCTTTCATCATCTGCTTACTCAAATAAGCCACTCTGAGGACACAAAAAGATTTTAACCGGTCTTTAGTTTATGAGATGTGCCTCTGTGCGCCTGCAGGCTGAGCAGACAAAACAACTCTTAACTCACACACATTTCACATACATGGTTCAACAGTAATTTAACATTAGTGGTAAACATTCGTAACCTTTACCTAAACTCCCCTGACAGAAACCATCTGAGCACCATCAAACTGGTTGACCCACTATGTGAAGGTGCTATTTATAAGACTGAGTTTGTTGCGACGCCTCGGACTGAAGAAGGCTTTAGGATGAAAGACAAAACGTTTCCAAAAAAGAAACCGTCCAGAGGATCTGAGTTAACTTTGTTGGACTGCATAGCCCACTTTCTTTTGTTCTTTTCATCTGAATTGACAGAAATGATTGCTGGTTTGAACCTTCAGACTTGCAGGTTCATGTACCTCTGACAATCAGATATGTAAAATTTAATATTTCTTTTAATAATTCTGCTCACAAATTTCCTTTAAAAAAAAAAAAAAAAGAAAGAACTGCATTTTATCCAACAACTAAATAAATAAATGCCCTGATATATTAGATGCTTCTCTGTCGGCTCCCTGTCAAATCCAGAATATTATTCAAAATCTTACTTTTAACCTACAAAGCTCTCAACAACCTAGCTCCATCTTACATTACAGATCTTATTGTTCCATATTTTCCCAACAGAGCACTTTGCTGTCAGACTGCAGGTTTACTTATGGTTCCTAGAGTTTCCAAAAGCAGAGTGGGAGGAAGATCTTTCAGTTATCAGGCTCCTCTCTTGTGGAACCAACTTCCAGTTTCTGTCTGTGAGGCTGACACATTGTCCAGTTTTAAGACTGGGTTAAGACTTAGACTACTAGAGGACAAATTGACCTAATTTCCTTAAATTAATTGTTAAAATTGAATAGTTTTCATTTGATAGTATTTCTGTCTTAACATGTGATTCTTGGCCTGCCATTGTGTATCTGTTCCTCTCAAACCCAGCCGGTCAAAACAGATGGCCGCTTGTCCTTAGTCTGGTTCTGCTAAAAGTTTCTTCCTCATGAGGGAGTTTTTCCTTTCCACTGTCGCCTTCATGCTTGCTCAAGTTGAGAGTTCAGCGATCAAAGCAGTCTGCTCTTCAGATAAATAATGTTAAATTATTATTTTTACATATGAATGTTCTGTTCAGTGCCCTGAGATGACTTCTGTTGTGACTTGGCGCTATATAAATAAACTGAATAGAATAGAATTGAATTGAAGGGTATTTTCATGCTATGAAATTAGTTACTAATATTAGAAATAGAGAAAATCAGATTAAAAAAACACCAACATTTTAAATTTTCTTAATTAAGAGGTTTAAAACTAAAGATCAGGCAAAGCCTTTTTAAAACGCTGGATTTCTTAACGATTTAAAGGTAACTTTTGTTGGTGTGTGGGGCACCGGCATCTGGTCAATTATAAACTTTACTCTGAATTGTAAATCATGAACTATAATGCTGAAGGTGTAATACATTTTACTTTTGGACTTGGACCAAAGGAAAAGTAATAAACTTCCAGTCACAACTCAGTAAATAAAGTTGTATGTCAACAAACAACCAAATATATATTGATTAAAATTGTGCATTTGTTCATATAAGTCTATTTTCAGTGAACTTGTTTAAAACACTTTCAGAAAACTTTGCACCCTCAGATAGAGAGGGGCTTGTAATTGCTTCACAGATCATTCTATTGTTTGTATGCGAGTGAAAACATCTTGGGCTTTCAGTAATTTTGGTTGCGCCTCATGGCATGTCACACAGCGAGCTCACTTGAATTTTAATTAGATTCTATTCAGCGCGGCGCACCATCACTGAACAGCTTGGCTGCACCAGAGGAGACGATTCCGTTTAGTTTCCATCCCGGCAGCTTCCCTCTCAGCCTTATGCTTTATCAGACGCATGCCTCGTTTGTTTGAACTTCTTCTTAGTTCACATCTCCAAAAGCAAATTAATATTTGTTCTTGTGTCCTTTAAAGAAAGATTAAAAAAAAAAAAAACACCTAAATGTTTTAGGAACAAAAGGGATTGGTTCAGTAATTGTGATGAAATGCTGCACCAAAACAATTAACCAGTTTTTGTAGTATTTTATACACCAATATATTTTGTAAATGATTGATTGTGACGCTTTGATTTTATCTTAATTTTTCCACATTTGCTGCCTTTTTTTGTTCTCTTTTAAATCACCTGGTCTTTTGTCCTTTTCCCCCAGGATTATTCATGAGGATGGTTACTCAGAGGATGAGTGTAAGCAGTACAGAGCAGTTGTCTACAGCAACACGATTCAGTCCATCATGGCCATCGTCAAAGCCATGTCCAACCTGAAGATTGAGTATGAGGACAGTGCCAGAGTGGTAAGACAGGGCCTTCAAAATCCATAACTTTTCACCCAGTCATTTTCAGTGACTCGTATTAGTGAAATCATTATAAAAACATTAAATTTGTTAAACTTTGCATACTTTTTCCAGTCATTTTTTTCTCCTGTACCTGCAGGAATCTGGCTATAAGACTCCCAATATAATATAATTTGACAACGCAACTACTATAATTCTCGGGCTTTAAAACGCACCTGCCTCTAAGCCGCACTTATTAAATATAAGATAAAAACTAATTTTGTACATAAATAAGACGCACCGGTTATTTAGCTGCGGGCATCCACCGTTCATCGTTGGAATCTGTGCCCAGCCAGCTCTGACAGTGTGCAGCTTTCTTCATGTAGTGCAAGAATCAGCCAGCAGATGGCGCTTCACAGAATATAGCTTGCTTTCAACAGCGCAGACTGCAAAATCGTCATGAGTCTTCATGAAGCTTCGCTGTCTGACTCATGGTTACAACTATTATACCTTCAAAATGAACACAATAACTATCTAAGCATAAACACTGGACAGAACAGTGCCAAACGCCTACGTAACTGAACTCATTAAAAAAATATTTACCCGTAAATATTACCAAGAAGTCTTATCGAGGTCATGTTACTGGAAGTCAAATAGTACCGGTAAAATGTGGTAAATATTCATTAAATTAGTACCATTAATTTTTATTGGTAAACGTTTTTTTTTTTACAACTGCTGTTTTTAAATGTACTTTCTAAATAAATTTGATGTGATACTCCTCAGCAGAGCTCATATGCGTTATATATTATCATTATTGTATGTTCCCATACAATGGTGAAATTGGCTCTCTGCATTTAACCCATCCACCACCAGGTGGGGCAGTGAGCAGCTATTGAAAGCACCCAGGGAGCAAGTGGAGATAAGATGTCCTGCTCAGAGACACCACGACATGTGCAATGACCGGGGATCAAATCCAGGACTTTCGGGTTCCCGAGTCGGCTGCCCTGCCTCCTCGGCCCCCATGGGGAGGAGGAGGATAGAGGGGGGAACATCCCCCTCCTTCCTGTTGTTCTCTCCATTCTGTGCGGAGCCTAAATGATATATTTGTGTTTAAACACATTTGCCATACACAGAAATATTTTTAAAAACTGTTATTTAAATATGTATCAGTCTTGACCGACTGCTTTAAAAATAAATCGGACTTCACTTCTCCACCCGTGAGCTCATGACGTAAGGGGAGGGGGAACAACCCCTCCGATTCATTGTCTCCTCTGCTCCGTTTCATGCGCTCGGATGTGACTTTACAATGAGATCCCGGTATTTAAATGCATATTTACCGACACAAAAAGATGTCACACAGAATTTTTTTTTACAAATTTTAATAAAACACATACCAGACTTGACTGCGTTTGTCTCCAATCCTGACCATCGACACACGTTGATGCAGCTTACATGTAGCTGTGTTTTCTCCTCGACAACCAGTGGCTTTTAACATGAAAGTTGCATCATAAGAAATTCCCCGTGCATATTTCATTATCGCTGAACAAATGAACAGGTCTGCGCAAAATCCCATGACAACACGGGAACTATCTGAGGAAATTAATTTACGTCTATCTTGGGGGATGGTCCTCAAGATCTTTGATCATTCAGGTTAGACTTCTTGTCACAGGATGACAGAGTGGGTGGAGTTATGGTTGGGTATTTGAAACCATGAGTAAAAGGCCTTGTACGTCTGATTACCTGAGGGCATTCTCTCTGTGTCACAAAAATTGCCCCCTTAAGGGGCGTAGTGCTGGGAGCCACGAACGCCCAGCTCTGTCGAAGGAAAATGTTAAGTCAGTGGCAGGAAGAGCGAGAGATGGCAGGAAGTCCTTCAAAATAAAATATAAAATTTTAAAAATTGTAAAAAAAAAAAATTGCATAAATAAAACGCTCCTGCATATAAACCGTGGGGTACAAAGTGTGAGAAAAAAGTAGTGACTTTTACACCAATGATTATGGTACTAAATTCTGTATTTGCTTTCATCCTAACTTCTCACATTCTTCCCTGAAAATTTTAGGTGGCATATAATATATAATATATATATATATATATATATATATATATATATATATATATATTTTGTTTTTCAAAATTATGCATTTTACTAGAAAATTAATACTGGCTGCCTTAAGGTGGGAAACCTGCAGAGCTGTGTGTTTTCTGACATTTTCTGAGATTTTCTGAAGAAACTGTAAGCAACCACCTTACAACGGAGTACCACTTAGGAAGACAATTGTATTGCAGAAATTCATAAAGTGAAAGAAATTCTACTTTTTTTTTTTTTTTATAGATTATGCGTTTTACTTTTAACTGATTTTTTTAAAAATAACTTTTATTCTATATCAGCTGTGTTTATAAGTCACAATCTGACACGGCTCCTTTCAAACTAAAGCAGAAAACACGTTTGCAGAGAAAATGGAGACAGCTGCGTCGGCTCTTGTTTTTCACAGCCCGGGAGCTCATCAAAACGCACTCCTGCTCAAAATGTTTCAGTCTCTGTCCCATACTACATCAGATTCAGATGTAATTACTTAAACAAACAAACACCAACAGTGTTTTGAAGTTTTGTGAGTGTCAACATTGAACAAAGTGACGGAACAGATTAAAAAAAAAATCTTGAATTCCTTCTTTTGCTGTGACGTGAAGTTTCATGAAATATAAAATCGCCCCATCGGTAAGAATGCAAGTAAAGTGTCAGGCTCTGCTGGACAGAACTATAATCTACATCAGGGGTGCCCAATACGTCGATGGCAAAGGTGTTGTGGGTAGATCGCATGGCATTAAAAAAAAGACATCAGCCTATCATCCATCCTCACTATGAAATTTGTTACTTGATTGACATGCAGAGCAGCCAGTCTGAGGCTCCATTTACACGACGTGAAACCGCAGCCTTCCTGCTACGGTTCGCCCGTTCATTACACGACATCAACCCTCATTCTCTCTGAAACCGAAGAGTTCTCAATCCAGGTCTCAGGGGCCGTTTACACGATACGTATTTTGAGTGAAACCGCACCTTTCTCTCTGCGGTTCGGCTCTTCATTCACACGACACCAGTCTCTTCCCCTCTTTGAATCAGGAGGTTTTTCAACCCAGGTCTCAGAGTGGAGGTTTTCTGGTGGACTGCCTGCAGAAGTGTCAGTTGTACCACAGAGGTGTTAAAGCACATGCGGACTACAAGCGTATATTTCACGCACGCACGTCCCAACGGTATATTTCTATCAACAACAATGATGTCGGAGTATAACATATTGCTTTCTGTGTTACGAATGATGGAATATATTTTGGGTCTCGTAGTTAATCTATGCTGGAATGTAGCTGCTCTGACTGACTTCTGTGTTGGGAAGAGACGCCAGTCAGATTCATTTCGAAATCACTGAGCGAGCCTGTCGAGGCAGGCGTATATTTCACGCGTCGCACTGGACCATAACATACAAAATGTGCTAAATAATAACGGTTTAACAATAATAAACCATGCTTCGGTCAGTGGTGGGCGATGTAATGAAGCTGTCTGAGCTAAATGAAGCTATCTGGACATTATGTATTTCAAGTTATTTGATTTAAACAATGTGAAACATGTTGCGTGTTATTAAAGTTGAAAATGAAGGCATCAGGTTTCATTTTTAATTTATTCAACACCACAAACAGTATGTCACACAAACACTGATAAGAAACCTGAACACTATTAAAAACTGAACTGTAAACTACATTAATGAACTGTACTCTTCTTCTCTGTTGTCATCCTGGGTACTGGCACCATGTTGCTTATCTGGCTTGTACAGGCTGCCACTCCTTTGCTTAATGTAGCTTAAAACATTGAACGGATTGGAAAAAAGAACTGAGGGGAATTTTAAGTGAATAGTTGCTCCAACATCTCTCTCTTCAGGTCCTCCTTCACCGCAGAGTCAGTGCCGTCTTTCAGAACCGGTCCACCTCTGGTGGGAGGGCACCTTCTCCTCACAGGAAAAATAAAAATAAAAACTCAGTTGATTGTTGTGTAACCGAAGTAAACACAAGCAAACGTAATCAAGAACGTATATTTGACTGCTGTAGCATTCCTCGAAGGCTACCGATTACCACCTAAGTTCGAAGTCTGACATCATTCTCGTCAGTTGTTAGCTCAGCGTTGAGCTGTTAGACGAAGCCGTCCTGATTGTCGTCAAAGCTGTCGACTCGCAAAAATCCAGCTTTATAGTTTTGTTGTTACTAGGCTTTAAGTCCAGAGGAAAGTCCTTACAGACAGATGTCCCAGGCAGTGCGCATATGCATTAGGTGAATGTACAAAATTCACAGCACAACAGTTACAATAAATGGCAGAGAGCAGTGTTTTTGTGCTACTCACCCTTTTTCAGCATGTTGGAGCAAAACTAATAAAATCCAGAGTCCAAGGAGACGTTATTCATCAGTTTGGACATAACTGTAAAATGCAGAAGCTGCATGGGCGATGAGGGTTGCCAGGTAAATATAAAATGTCTAATTTACAACCTCTTTTTAGTGCACATGTTCAACAAACACAACACACACCTCATTTTAGAATAGCTTTACTCAGCACATATGACAGTTTAAGTTAAAACTATAATTTTAAAGCAACAGTACTATAGTTCATTATTTCTTATCTGGCAACCCGACTGACACGGAAACTACAGTGTTTTCATGTAAACCCACTCATTTTTTGTTTATTACCCCCGATAAACATTGAAAAACCACAAATGTTTCCAAGGGTGGTTCTCATGTAAACAGGTAGGTAGATCAGATCGATTTGGTCATTTTAAAAGTAGCTCGCATGTTGAAAATGTGTGGGCACCCCTGGTCTACATGAATCATGTCACTGAACTAGTTTAGTTTTCATGTAGAAATAATACAAATGCAACAATCATGTGCAGATTCAAGTCGGTTTAATTTACATTTGGTAAAATGGCACATGTTGAATGACATCAAAACATTAAAACTAGCTTCGTGTTCTGTTACCACATCAGATGTGCTGACATTTACTTGTCTGTACCCAGTGATTATCTATACATCCATGTAAATTATTCAGCATCATGTTTCTTATGAAGACTTTCTGTGAGTCATACTGAAGTAGCATCAAAATAATGCAGATAGAATTATTATTTTTTCCTTGGGCAACTTTTTATAAAGACTCCTGCAGAGCTGGGAGTGTAAATGCTTTAAGATCTACATCTTAACTCTTCAGTGGTTTAGCTACGGAGAGTCTATTCTCACTTTGTTCTTCATTATTCCTCACTGTGTTCTACTTACAGCTACAAACAGCAGCTTTTAGTTTTAACAGAATGTTATTATTTGTAAATCTTGAATGTTAAAGAGCTCCATGTGCTATACTCGGCTGTTTTTATCTACTGTGAACTGAAGCCTCGATGGATTTGAGGGTCAGATAATGGTTAACCAGTACATGGAAGTCCCTCTATAGCCAACATCAAAGTTTATGTTCATCATTGACTGGTGTCAAACTGAAAGGGTCATAGTGGTGCAATGTCTGCCCTTTTCATGGTGCTGGTCAATAAGCGATTTCTTTTTACTAATGTTTTTGTTAAGGGAAATGTCTTTGCAGTAAATTAGCTAAAATCATTGCTTAAAAGATTGACCTTAATGTTGTTGTCTGGATTTGAAAGAAGACGGACCATTCTTCGTGGTTTAAAACGATGTTTAAATAGCTCCAACGTCCCAGGTTTACACAAGATATTCTGTAACACAATTAGAAAAATGTCTCTATAGAAAAAAGAAGTTCCTGACAGAAATACTTTAAAATAGCTTGTCGTTTCAGCAGTTGCATTTCAAGCTGTATGATTGCATCATTATTTTAAATTTTAGGTACCTATTTTTTGAACTATAAGGCACACCGGATTATAAGGCTCACTGTTGATTTTTGAGGAAATTAAAGGATTTCAAGTGTGCCTTATAGTCCGAAAAACACCGTAATTGATGAATGCGTAATTTAATAATTTCATTTTTTCGCCTTTCTCACATGTCTTAACTGTCGATCTGTTGTATCTAATGGCATTGTTGTGTGTATGTGTGTGTTCTCCTCAGGATGATGCTCGCCAGCTGTTTTCTTTGTCTGGAACTGCAGAGGAGCAGGGCAACCTGCCAGAAGAAATGTCTAAAATCATCCAGCGACTGTGGGAGGACGGTGGTGTCCAGAGCTGTTTCACACGGGCCCGGGAGTACCAGCTCAATGACTCCGCTTCCTAGTGAGTTTCACATTGACCTCAAGGATTTTGTGTGGATTATGTCTCGTAAGTTTGCTCACAGTTACAAGGCTTCAATTGATCTCCAAAAACGTATTTTTATTTACACGTCATAAATGCTGCTTATCTATTGACATAAATAAATCAGATGGATCGATACAACCAGCAGCCTCAGCGCACATAATGTTGTCATTAACACAGACGTCGTTCAGTGGCGAAAACTGCAACAAACTAAGTGAATGATCACTTGTAACAGCGTAGAGATTTAATATCCAATAATACACCGTTTGTTTGCACACAAACATGAAATTGTATGTATGTGGCAGAAATCTGCTTTTAAAAATGCCTATGTCTGATAACCTGATACATGTGTGACACACAATCAAACTCAAGTTTGCTGACACTTCTGTTTACTACTGCCAACATCTTCACAGATCCCTACTTCAAATAACTCTCTTTGGTTTAAAGAAAATCTTAATTTGCAACATATCCATGTTTTATTGTGGTGTTTGTGATCAAAAACGTTTTTGTTGACTCCTCTCAATGACCTGGATGAAAGTTAGTGTTAATCAAATTCCTGCAAAAAAGCACATTAGATGCATGCATACCATGGTATCTATAAAATCGGAGTACTCACTATGTTTTGTTACCGGTTTATTTTTTTTAATCATAAAAAAATAGGGGGAAAATTACATATGTGTTTTCAAATTATTCATTGCCATCCACTGTTTGACTTCCTCGTTAAGTATTGCCACTTAGTTGTCTGATGGTGTTATTTGCTTTCACTTCATCAGAGATCCAGTGTTTTAAAACTAATAAGCACTTTTTCGCAGTGATTAAAGAATTTATCCAACTTTCACCACAACTGCCACTTAACTACTTTCTTCATTCCCCTCAATTAAAAACATCACCTTGTATTTGCAGTTTGTGTGTTTGATATTAAAGACGGATGAATATTTTGTTTATCGGGTGGCCGTGCTTTCAGAAAGCAGTGGAGTTTTGTAATCAGCAGCACCAGCTCAATCTGTCTCAGCCTCCTCTATTAAAGTCTAAATGGCTCTCATCTCGAGTGCCATGTTTGTCAGCCACGTTGTTCTTATCTGTCAGTGGATCAGTGAGAGTGTGGGGTGAATGCGAGACTAGGTAAGCAGTGAGTGATGCTTATCGGTCTAATCCTCAGGGATGCACTGATTACAGAAGTCTAGAGGATACAAACTCGTGTTTGTTTAGTGCTCCTATAAGCTGTAGCATGAGTGGAATTGTCTTTACATGAAGTAAAGTAGCAACGCTATATTTATTTTATATATATTTTAAGGCTTTATAAACCCTTCCCACACTCTTGCAATGTTCTAAACGCTTAAACCTACATCAATTTAACAAGATGCGTATATGTACTGTTGGACCGGTCACGATAAACAAGTCAATTAATCGCACGATAAATGAAAATTATCGACCTCATTGTCATTTATCGGCTTTATCGTTTATTCCTCTCTCTTTCTACTGAAGACACTGGATGACAAAAGTCTCAACTACGGTGCTCTTCACTGACCCCTCCCTTTCTCTTTTCTCTTTAAAATCTGTTTTAACCGTCCAAAATCACGTTTTTGGATGGCTAAAAGCAGCTAAGTTGAGAAGCTAAGCTAACAGGCCGACCTCGGGGAAAAAAACGCCTCCGTTTTCTTGAAGCTCCAAAATTCACGGTTGAAACCCGTGCCTTTGTGTAAAAAGTTTTTTCTCCGAAAAAAGGAGCTGAGGACTTGTTTGCTGATTTTTTTATTAAAAGCTTTGTGTGAAATGCAATGCTAAAGAGCTCAAACCACACCAAGCGTCCCCCATTTTGAGAACTGGAAAACAGGAAGGAGAAACAGCCCGTGTCATGTCAAGAGGCCTCCCTCCCATTTTTCTTAGAGGCGTGCTGCTCGCTTCCTCACTATCCGTCCTTCGGTTCAAACAGTCTTATACTGCCATCCAGTTGTCAAAAAAGGTACTACACACAAAAATTAACCAAAATTTCTTCTTAAATTTGACAATAAATACAAATTATTGTGAAATTTCAAACAATATCATCGTTTACCGCAATAATTTCTGAGACAATTAATCATTCAGCAAAAATTGTTATCGTGACAGGCCTATGTACTGTACAGTACTGCAAAATTTTACTCCCCAGCTCTGCAGAACAGCAGCTCGGTTCCAGTTCTGGAGACCTACCCTGCAGCGACGAAGCCCACCACCCCGTCCAGGTTGATGTGCGCGTAGATAATTGAACTTCAGGAAGGTTCAGAATTATTTGCGACTTTCCTGCCAGTTCTGTGAGATTAACTGTAGATTTGTGTTGAAAAACTTTCCCTCCATTTTTCGCAGAAAGCAGTGGCTGGAAGCACTGTTAGCTTCTGGGTAGTGTAGTTTTTTTGTTTTGACTGGCCTTACAGTATAGGCTAATTGAAAGAAAACTACAAAATGGTGGCGCCTGTCCAAAGTATTACTTTATTCTTTAACTTTTTGTCTCGTACAGTCCCAATCACGTGAGTAATATTAAAGCTGACGATCGTTGAAAAATCGCGGAAGTCGAACCGCGTATTAGCGAGGCACTTCTGTACTCTCATTTCCTGTCTAAATATAAAGTGTTTCAATCTGATCATTCTCCAAACTTGAACTCCCTAAGAGGGTGCTTGTTTGCATTTGCTTATAAAATCAACTTCTGCCTCATGGCTGAGGAGGGAGCAGGAAACTTTGCGAACACAGCCTCACAGTTGGCACCAGGGTGGACAATGCACACTGTTTCATCGAGGTTTTATGGAGTACTGAAAGAGGAGGGTGATATAATGGAGGACTAAATGAGTCTGGCTTTAACACACGTCTGAGCACCTGATGAGAGCCAGAGAAAAGAATGGGAAGATAAACGGAAAGAGGGAAAAAGCACACCTCTCATTATCTCAGGCCTCTGTTCTCTGAGCTGGGTTTGTTTTACAGAAAAAATAGTGATAGTGCAGGTGCTAAGAATGATGATGCAAAACATGGTAAGATGGTTTAAACATCTCTTATGAAACCACCATTTATCCGTTGATGAGTCTCTGTCACTCTGCAGCTGAGAGACAAACTCCGTTAACCTCTGTAACATCACACAATGAAGCAGCCGGTCGTGACACTGAAATAATTTAATGCTTTCCTCCAGTATTTTGTGCTCAGTCACGTGGGATAAATAACACAAAAAGTCAGTCTTTTATCTAAAAGTCAATTTCTTGTTTGATAACTGTTGCTTCGTTTTGCCCTGGCAGAATTTTATGTTCACTTTCTTGACTATTTGTTGACAAGTTTCGTCAAAACTGTAAGAAGGCACGACAGCTCTGCACCTCGCAAACAGATATTTTTGAATTAGTCATGTAGTCTTTATGGACATTTTCTATTTATGACTTAATTAAAATGTTTTCATGTTTGAGAAAAGCTGTTGTAAGCAGTGTTTTACACTGCACTGTCGTGGACTCATTAGTCTATTTATTCTGTCGTATTTTTCGGACTATAAGGCGCAATATCAACGAACGGGTCTGTTTTCATACGTAAGGCGCATTAAGCAAAATAAGTTCATTTTGACAGATTTTTGAGCACCGTGCACCACATAAAATCTGTTCAAGGTCAGCACAACCAGAATGAATACATAAAGCGCACTGGATTATAAGGCTCGCCGTCGACTTTTGAGAAAATTCAAGGATTTTATTGTGCCTTATATTCTGAAAAATATGGTATATTTATTGTGATTATAAATCTGCTCTAATAAATGGAAATTGTTTGTTCTGTCTTCAGCTACCTAAAGGACCTGGAGAGGATAGCCAAGTCTGACTACATCCCCACACAGCAGGATGTGCTGCGGACTCGTGTGAAGACCACAGGCATCGTGGAGACGCACTTCACCTTCAAACAACTCAACTTCAAGTGAGACTACTCACTTTTCTTGTTTTTTCACACAAAAACTCGAGCTCATTTCTAAAACCATCAATTTGTAAAAATTTGAAGTTGGGTAACTATTGTTTTTCAGATGTTGTTCCCAAGACATGACATACGTTTGTGTTCTTATGAATCGCATATTTTTCACAAAATGATTGTTTTAACCTCAATATAATGTCCTCTATCTTTGGGAAGTCCAAATGTGTTTGACAATCTTTTACCTGAGTTTAGTTCATCAGCGTAAAATGTTTTGAACCCAAACAGCTCATCATGTTCAAACCACAACTGTACAACACTGCATGTTTCCATGTGGGAGGATAGTGTGGAAAATCATAAATGTCATGCAGTCTGATACATATCAGCAAAAAGACCGGCTGATTTTTTTGTTTTCCTACTCGCAGTATATGTGAAGCTGCAGTGACATATTTACCACGGGATGATTTAACACTGGGGTGGTTCCTGTTTGTTCTTATTGTCTGTCTTTGTCCATGTTTTTCAAAAACGCTTTGTGTTTTTCCTTTAAGTCTCAGTTTTTGGTAATGATGTAATCCTCTTTTTTGTAGTGAAAACACACACAAGCACATTGTACTTTTTAAAAAAATGGAGACAGCAGCAACTTAAAACACGTCTTGCTAGTGCCAGTGTGCGTTTACTTCTGTGGAAAATACGTCAGGTTTCTGTTGAGATACATTATTAATTTGTATTAGTTTGACAAAGCCAGATGTATTTATCCACAGCAGCCACTTTATTAAAGCCCTGTAGAATATACAGAATAAAACTTGTGTAAATAGTGAAGATGAGCAGGCTGCTGAGGTAAACTGTGTAAAGGATGTTGCAGTTTCAGGGAGCTCTGCTTACTCAGCCTCAAGCTGGGAGAGGGAATGACTGTTAGCAGCCGGTCTGAAGTGACAACTGTCACCATCATTCCTCGAATGCTCAGTCTTCACCCTCAACTGCCAGCTAAAAAACGGAACAATTGAAATATTTGGCCTTGCACAGTGCTGCGTTTTTCAAAGGTCACCCCCCCTTTTTATGAGTAAGTACCATACTTTCTTCCGTACACGTCGCACCACCATATAAGTCACATCAGTCCAAAAATGTCTAATAAAGCGGAAAAAAATAAACGAGTCGCTTCGCCGTATAGACCACATCTATTATGCGTCACTGCTGATGCATCATGTTTGTTATGCGTCACCGCTGACCACCTGGAAACGTGGTCCGATGTGCCAAAAATCGATTGGCTGGCAAATGGAGGCCGCAGAAGCACGCACGGGAGGACTTTAACAAGATTAACACTTAAAAACAATTATTTGTTTGCTCGACATTATAGTAAGTGTGTTTCAGTTGAACTTTTCCTTGATAAATGCACTTTAATGGTCAAATCAGCTGCATTTCACCTGGGCGGCGCGGCAAAATGCAGCTGATTTGACGTTTGCTCCAGGAGTTCCGGAGCGAGACGAAGGTGGCTTGTTATGGCAAGCCAAGCATCTCATTAATAGCCATTTTTACCTATTAATGAGACACTTGGCTTACCATATTACTTGAGCGCCCTCTAGTGGCTGAAAATGTTAGTGTTCAAGAGACCATCTTAGCACCAACATTACTGGTTTGTTCCACTTTGGAGTAAGCTGTTGGGGGAAGAATCAGTTCTGTTTTGTGTTTCCTTGACTGATGAAGCCTTCCGGATCGAAGGCGAAACGTTTCAGCACAAAAAAAAAAAAAA